AAAAAGGCTGCTTTAGATATTAAGTATGATCAGTTGCAAATGAAGGTGCGTTTGTTTAATATTTCTCTCCTCAAACTAGACTAGACATTTGTGTTTTGATTCTGTTTGTCAATGTCAGAAGATTATGTTGCCCTACAATTGTGTAGCGGGTACTGGCAAAGGTAAGGATTTTTCCTTTTAATGCCATATATGTATGCATTTCCTGCTGAAGCCAACATGAAAATCATATTTGTGAGTTTGCGTCCTTACTGTCATAGGGCTACCAATGTATGGACACACACCGACAACATTTTACTAAATTGTGGGCTAGATCTATCAACGGTTTTCAACGCTTTCTCAGAAAGCAGAAGTGGTCGTTTCAGTGGAGAAAACTAACTTGAATCCTCAATACAATTTGAAACAAAAATGCACAATGATGAACGCATGAAACTATCAGTATATAATGAAAACCATAAGATCAGATTGATCATATTTTAAACACTTAGCAAAAATTTTGTCTAGCCATAGCATTTGGAATTTCAGAAGGTGACTAGATGTTACAATTTCAAATTGCGTGCATGAACAATCAGATTTTGTCATTTCAGTTGTAATATGTAAAAATATTGTATGGATTTATCTTGCTGCTACTGAGAGATACATGTGATAAATATACATGTTTATATATACTGTAGTTTTATTTTCATGAGCAATTTTGGGTGGAATTGTTACTTGCATGTTGTTGTACTGTGATTGTAACTATGGAGAACATAATTCAATAATTTTTTTTTCTCTCTCCTTAAATTCTCATGCTATACATGATTTCCATGATTTTTGAAACTGATGACAGGTGACAAATTGAAAGGATACATTTAACAATTTTCAGCTGAATAAGAACTGGGTGTGCGAATTAATAAAGACCATGAATTAATCAAGCTTTTACGGTAAAACAAATTTGCTTTATTGACAATATGATTGCAAGGTTTGAACCCAGATAATTCCAGTTAATCACACATCAAGGCAATGAATGGCCCTTGTGAACCCTTTACAATTTTTTAACAAAAAAAGCATCCTATCTATTTTTGTAAGTTCCCAAAATGATCAAAACAATTATTTGCAGAAAGCAAAACAAGTCGCCTCGGAAGTCAACATTTTATTTTGTGCTCATTACAACTTCTTTTAACCAGTTAAAATTGAAAAGCAACACTTCTACACATTTCTGTACGAAATCATGCAGCAAAAGTTGACCTTGATAAGCAAAGGTCATTTTCAAGATTAATAGGGAACAATTAACAGCTCCAAGATTAAAAAAAAAAAAAAAAAATGAATGGGGAAAAATTACACAAATCAAGAGAGCAGAGAAAATACATAGGACTCAACCCTATAAAAAGTCAACCTCCAAAACAAGAAGCTCAGCTAAATCTGGTGTAACAAAATTCCTAGGTATAGTATTTACCATTTTCATTATAAAAAGTAGGGCATGAACTTTACAGACACATCAAGGGAAATTACCTTGATATCTAGACAGTTTGGTGCCCTTCGACATTTCCTATATGCCAAGGCCATTTTATAAATTTTAAAAACAAGTCCCTCTTAACTTCAACGTTCAAGCCCTGCAAGACCAAATGAAACAAATTTGATGTTTCTGGTAATGGTCTAAAATAATTTGTTTTGTTCTTCTTGTTGGGTTTTTGTTAATCAGTTTAACTAATGCTAACAATATAGATTAACTGGAGGTGTGAAAAGTAAAATATAAGCTAGTTGTATTAAGAAAACATCCTGAAAACTAAGCGCCAATCAATCACTACTCAAAGGAAGTAAATGGGGACAAATTTATGTCTAATTTGCATATAAATAGGGCAGGTAGGATTACAAGAAACTTGGATGACACTCAAAATTACAGCATTTGCACTATTGGAAGCATGTCTTAAATTGAAGCAAGGTGGCCAAAAATATTTAGTCATAATTTAAGCGCAACAGCCTAAAAACAATTATTGTTTCAGAGAAAGTTTTTTTTCTTTTTTTTTTTTTACACCTACTTCCAATAAAACAAATACAGTACCAAGTCAGCCCAAGAATTAAAATTGATATGAAGGACACCAAAGAACAAAACATACCACTTCCTGAGTCTCTGGCGATAGCGGTTCAGAAGTTTGTTGTGGAGCTGGTTTTGTTATTTCATATCCCTCAAACATAAGAGACGGTCTTCTTACTCGTTTTCCAAGGCCCCCAGGGACATTTGGGCTCACTCCGTTCACCGATTGACCGCTAGCACCAGTTAGGTCATTATGTATCAAATTCACACCTGGATTTCTGCTGCAAGAAAAGTAACCATTAAGTGCAATAATATAGCATGAAACTATTTTGAAGAGGTAGTTTCAACATGCAAAAATTTATTTCCGCAGTGACTTCAGGTCAAAGGTCAAGCAATGGAGCACAGCAATTATTCAGCCAGGCCTACTGAATGTAATGTAATGCAATTTAAACCAGACAAGGTGCATCAAGCCAGGTTCACCGACCGTAATGCAATGCAAACTATCGGATAGTCAAAAATATTTCCCCTCAAAACCAACACTACACATAAAACATCTTACATTATCAAAAAGCCCATCAAGCTAACTAAGTAATTAATAACCGTAATATAGGTGGGCACAACAAGCAACTCTCGTTGGCTATGCATATTTCAATTGGAGTAATGAAAATATCACGAAATCTGAGAGCTCCACCTTGGGTACCTACATGCTCAATATCACAGCAATCAGACTTGCTGTTTTTCTACAAGAAGTCAAAAAATATCACTTTTTACTAAAAATAAGAAAAATGTTCATCAAAATTAGGGAATTAAAGACTTGCTTTTAAAAAGTTGAAAAAGAAAAAAGTTGACAAGAATGACAACTGATATTCAGTAATATAGTTAGCTCTGCTGAAAGGCAGAGCAAAAAAAATCAGATCAGATTAGACTAAAGCCAAATAAAAATATAACCCAACCCTACCTTAAATTTATTGCCTACCCAACCTAACCCTTTGTTTGAAGGTGGGGGGGGGGGGCATGAAAAAGTGATGCAAAAAAATCACAAAATATTAACTGAATTGACTATTATCCAAAATTCTGGCCAAATTCAAGAGGACTCTCAATGGGGCTCATTAAATACTAAGCCAGATCAAAGCAAATGTCATGACAGGAACTGGAAACAAATTTGAATCGAACCAGTTTTTGAAACTGCATATTATCAAAGCCATCATATTGATTTCAAATTGGACAAACATCTCATTTACCAAACTACACCAAGAAATTATCTATTTGAATATATATATATATATATGCACATCAAATATTTATTAACACCTGGCTCTAACTGAATGCAATGTTTTACAACTGAGCGTTCGACCTGACTAATTTACACACGGAAGACATTGGGGTCATCTTTACGGCGTGTTACCCCCCTCAAAAAATAATTATACGTCCCATCCGACCACCTTTTCCTCTTCACATCTCTACAAAATGCAACAGACGTTAACGAGACAGAAAATAGGGATCTCAATATGTAAAACAATGACCATTTCCGGGGCTCAAAACGGCGTCTGTAGCTTCTGGCCGGACGACTTGACATTAGCCAAGAACATGTAGCCGGCCGTCTTGTATACCTGTCACTTCCAGTATTGCTGGCACAGTAATATATTCTTGGACTTTTTCTGGCGACAATCAATGCAAACGAAGCACAATTCCGCTGACAGAGAAGGCATTAAATGAAGAACACAACGAAGCGAAGTTATGCGACACTTCCTCAGTTATCGGTTTATTACGAATTTTCACGTTTTTTCCACAAGTTCAAAAGCTATTTTTAAGGACTTACTCACATCAGAACATTGTAAATTTCACATCAAACTGTTCACAAACAATTCACACACCACTCCGAGTACCGATACAGTACAAATTTAGCACGTATTCGCGTTATTCTGTCAAAATGCTACACGTTACATGCAAAGATCTAAGCTGATCGCATAAAAGACGCTCTTTCGTTGAAACCACTACCGCTCACTTTCGACCCCGATTTCAATGTGAAAAGTAGGTCAAAAATGCAAAATATGAGTATAGTACCCTTGATGAATGTTCTGTGCTGGTCGCTGATAGCCTTGCAGTGTCGGATGGCTCTTGGTATCCATACTGGGCCAGGATTAGATTCTGGTCAGGTAGAGCGTCCGTACAGCAGCAATGGCGGTACAGCACCACCAACAACTCCCATTTATATACACTGTCCTATTGTGATTGGTTAACTCCAGTCACATGGTACATTTTAGTGGAAAATTTTGCGATATTTTCCCTAAATTCCTTAAAAATTATACAATATTCTGAAGCTAAAGGTAAACAAACGTACTTAAGAGTGTCCAGGGAAGATACAGTCCCAAAATTTCACCGGTTATCGACAGCAAATAGCCAGGTTTCGATACGATATAGGAGAACGTCACGATTGCGAAAACAGAATGCCAACGTCGGCATACGTTTTCTGTGCGCTGATTGGTCGATTTCAGTCAGCTGATGAAAGCGTCAGTAATTTTACCTAATTTCACAAGTTTTTGCAATGTAGAAAGCAATATTTTGAAAAGAGCTGAAAGTTCACTCACGATTCTCACCCACCCGTCCAGTCATACTGCCACACTCGAGGAAAACCTAACGAATTTATGGGAAACTGACATGACGGGGGACATGAGTGACGCGCATGGCATTTAGGGGTTTCACAATACGCATGCGCTGCGACCCTCAACCTTTTACTCCACGCCATTTTCCCGCTGATTACTCTTCGAAAAAATAGAACAGTAAGTGTTATTTTATTGATATCTGTCTGAAGTTGCTAATTACTTGGTGTGGTCACTAAGGAAAAGAATTGACAGACCTTCATTTTTTGTAGGTATCCCTGTTTATCATACTACTGCATCCGTAGACAGTGGTCTACAATACAGTCCATATCTATGCATTTTCTAATCGCACCGTCTCCCGATCTGTGACCTCACAGGAAAACAAAGCATAGAATGGAGAATAAAACTTATATTTTTGTTTGCAATTTGATGTAGTTAATTACATCTGAAGCATAAAATCAAATGACGCAGGGAAGTTAAAACGGACCTGGATTCAAGTATGAATACAAATAATTTGACAATAACTGATTATAAATAAGATAATATTAATAATTTAAACAAGTGGTACAGTGAAAACCACAAAAACATGTCTTTTTTTTTAATGTTTAAAAAAAAACAAAATATGTATTTATGTGACAACTGAAAGCATAGCCCCTAGAAAATGTTTTTCTAAGGTCTATCAGAATAATAATTGCTGTGAACATCTCTAATGAAAGCAGTTTTACATTATTGGTATGGTTCTACTGTAGACATTAGTTGGGGGTTTATAGTACAACCATCAATTCCTGTGGTTTTTTTTTTCTTGTATTCAACTAAAACTTTGATGCACATTTTTGCTTTTGTAAAATGATTTTTTTTGGCAGGTGTTCAGTAAATAAAATTTCTACATCTAGAAGAATGAAAATGCGTATAATTTACCTGTACATGTACTTGTTAAAAACAGAAACATAATTGTTATTGTTAATTTATCAATTTCTCAAAAAAGTTTTCCAAACTCAAAATGGTTGCTGAAAACTGTTAATTGCAACTGTGAATATGACTTCACTACTTCACTACTGATTGGATGTTATATATGTATGTACATCTGGGGATGTTGAAAGAAAGCATCCCTGTTGCGAATTTCATTCCTTCAATTTAATGTACATTTATGAATATTCATAAATAATTACCATTGAGCACATTCATGGGTAACCTGAACTATATACCCAGGGTGTAGTAGTTTTTTATTTATATAATATTTTGACTACTGCTAACTATATCTCAATGTCAATGGCAGACTCACTGTTCCTAAATCATGACTGTCTAGTCCATAATTATTTACTGTAAGTTTCTTAGAACATTGATATAGCGTATCCCTGATTTGATTACTTTAAAACAGTCTTTGCTTGTAGTGGTTGAAGAGTTTTGATAAAACTCCATGAAGGTTCAACTCTATGAAGGTTCATCACATTACTACAGTTACCTCAGGCCTTGCCTTTTGAAAATGACCTTTGAGCTTATAATGCCTCTTCTGAACAAGTTAATGTGAGTGATTTATAATAGCAGGGCTTGAACTTCATAGAGGCATCAAATGCAGTTGTCTCGATGCCCAATGAGTTTAACTCAATGCCCTTTGAAAAATGCAGATATTCTCTATATATATATCACACAATAGACATAATGAAAATAATAATGCTGAGTAATAATAATGACAATAATTACTGTAAATAAATAAATGAATGATTGAATAAATAAATAAACATCATAGAAACATTGGCCGACTATATGGCAACGGCAACACTTTTCTGATTTGCTGTCATGGGCAGTTGATGCAATAATGCCCGTCTGTTTTATAATACACCATACTCGTATTCTACATACTTTGGAAACAGTTGCCAAACTGGTTTTGTTGCTGATGTTTTGTTGTTGCTATTTGTAGGAGTGTAATGGCAAGTACAGAGGACAACAAACCTGGAGGTGTCCAGCAAAATAAGCCACCACCCCCTCAACCAGTAGCCACATCACAAAGGTCGACTACCCCAAGTGGAACAACAACAAATACTACCACAACAACTACTGCTACCACTACACCATCTTCTAATACCAATCTGACTGGAAAGGTATGTATTCCATTGCTTAATTGGCAACCATCAATTTGGTGCTCAAAGAAAGCGCACTGTTTAGGCAAGCTTATTCGGCCTTTTTTGAGGCTTGGTGACATCGCACAATGTTTTTAACTACCATACAACTGATTTTATTTGGTATGACTTTAGTGTTTAAAAAGTTATATGGTATTCACAAAGATGTTACACGACAATATTGTTACTTTCAACCCACTGTTGCTAAATAAGTGTAAACAGATGACCCTGGCTAATTTAGCTTGGTGTCTAGTGGATGCTCTCATCTCATGATCTCTGCACGAAACTGTGAGCTAAGATATGAACAAGGACTCTTGTTAAAACAGTGTTATATTTTGTTACTGCTTATATCTGTCCTAAAGAGCAGGAAACAAACACCTATATGCCAGCTTGGTGCTACTTGTATTTGACAGTGGAAGAAAGGAGATTGTTGATTTTAAATTGGGGTGAAAGTGCATTTGGAAAATGAAAATTGATTGGGTCACATGTTTAAATGACAATAA